CTCTCTCTCTCTCTCTCTCTCTCTCTCTCTCTCTCTCTCTCTCTCTCTCTCTCTCTCTCTCTCTCTCGGTCTTCGTCTTCGTCGTGGTCTTCTTTCCAGGTGCACGGCGGCTTCTCCAACCCCTCGGTCCGCTATGGCGGACTACCACTCTCGGCGGCCACCTCTGCTATGGCGCATCAGGCCCTGCACACGACGACGCGCATGGAATAGCGGGTACCAGCTCCGATACCAATGCAATCAGACTCGTTCTCATTCACACCTTTCATGCATGTAAACAGTAGCGCAGCAAACTGGCGACATGCGGCCACTCAAAACTCAAAGATATGTCATCCAGATACGAGTTCACTCTTAATTGGCTATGGGGACTCAGCACCCAAACAACTCACTGTTCACATACACTGGATCACCCTGGATATCCCACACACAACTCTCTGAACACTCGCTCACACACACACACACACTGAACTTCAACTAAGCTATGGCGGCTATGGCCACAACTACCCTATCGCTATGCTACGCTCCTCCTCTCTGCCCACTTCGTCCTCGGGCGTCACTGCAGACCTCCTTGCACAAGTCGCTGTGGCAGCGCTTCCACATGGCTCACGCAGGAATGAACGAATGGTTGCGCGCTGCCTCTTGATTTATACTTCTGAAACTCGTTGGTCTGCCCTTTGCCATCGGCCCATGGTGCTCACAATCCCTCGTGGTACTTGTTGGACCGGACTGGGACTGACTGGACCTGAACGCCGACTGAACGGGGACTCACTGCTATCCCACCGGGGTCGTACTGCAATCGCACTGCGGTTTAGTCCACCACTTGGCTCACCACTTGACCACTTGCCCACTTGCCGACCTTCTAGAAGCCTACAGCTAAGACTTCTGGACTTCGCTAAGACTTCTATTTGACAGACCTACAGATCGAATCCCCTACCACCTACGGACCTAGGCTAGCCTACCAACTGTCTATGAATACACAGGTCACAGGTTCAACTCTCGGGGTCTACACAGATACTGTACACGAGTAGGGTGAGGTCTAGGGATCGAGCCCTGGGCTCCGCATCTGCTACTGCAAAGAGGTGAAAACCGTTTCACTTACCCAGTCTGACACGCACTGACAGCGTTATGAGGCCATTTTATGAGGCTTAATCTTGGACTGTTCTTTAGTTACCCTCGCAGGTATCTTCTTGTGATTGGATGTTGGGAGTACTGTCAGAGATTGAGAAACACCCAGTGTTATCTCCAGATTCGCCAAACCTGTGCATAGTGGCTTTCGCAACTTACTCTGTCTATGTGCAGTGTGTACTCTGTCTCCTCTCGCCTTCTTCTTATGTGTGTATGGGCGTGCGTGAGATTGTCTGCGTGAGTGTTGGTGGAAATCGACAAACAACCAAGTTCATAACAGTTGTGCATACATTCGTGTGAATGGTTTCACCTTGTTTCTTGTCTCTTGTGATTGTTTGTTAATTGTATATCAGCGGATTCAGCGCAATCATGCAATGTATTATTGTACATTGCATTTGTAAACGTTTGTTGTGTAACTCGTGTCATATGGAGTGTTGTATAAGCCTCCATCATCGTGCACGCACTGGCAGTTTGGCTGCTCGTGCATCGAGAGGCAACAACCGCAACAGCGGCAACACCAAGTTCAGTGTTCACCAACCGCCCCGTACCACGGCACTACTAGTACCCTACTCGCACAACGCGAAGTGGCGCTGCCAACCACGGCGGTCTTCAGTGCTTACTCTAGTCATCCACCGAGCCACTGCGCCCTCTCCCCAAAAATCCCCCACCCCCAGAAGCCACGTCCCTGCACGGCCCGCAGACTGCAGTGCCCCCGCTTCACCAACCCATGGTGCCGTTACCCCGCATGGCCTCTATCCCGGCTATCCGGGCCACCGGGCCACGTCCCCGACCCACAACCCCCGCCCCCCCCAAACTCCCCGGAGAGGGCCCCGCATCGTCGCCCCCACAATGGGCCACAAGTTCCCACAACCATGACACCCCGCTCCCAACACTGCCCGCACCAGTCACCCCAACAGCCAACCCTAGCCCC